TGCGAAGAGAGATGATTATATTTTAATGTTGCATTTCCTATAATGTAAAAAGAAGGTACCGCAATGAGCTCTTTACATTTGCATCTGCTAAAGTGGACACAATTAAAGTGGGTTCTCCTTGGAGCTGAAAAGGAATCCCAGAAATCTCACCAGATCAAAGCAGACAAGTTTGCAGCGATTCATGCCAAAATTGAGAGTTACATCTTTAGCACATCCAGCCAGAGCCCAAATTCAGGCGAGATTGGGTTTAGCTTTAAACCTCTTAAAATGTTACAATGCTGAGTGATTGCTATATCTTGAATGGACATCAGTCTTATTTGTGAGTTACATATTTCAGAAGTGTTGATTTCATCCAGGACACATCTGTTTAATTCTCCATTTTATTCACTAGCATTAATTGTTAGTGGGTGTGGGAGATGAACACCTGTTATTTGAGTGAACAACTGATTACGTGAAACAACAATAACAAAATTACATTTATAGAGCGCCTTTCACATCGGGAGGACGTCCCAAAGCGCTGAATAGTCAGGAGTCGGGGCCCGAGCATGGGAGAGGGGTGAGGGAAGGCAGAGAGGTAGGAGGGAGACCAAAGGCACGGTTGAAGAGAGGGGTCTTGAGACCGACCTTGAAGAATGCGAGGGAGGAAGCGAGGCGAAGGGACTGTGGGATGGAGTTTCAGAATGTGGGGGCAGAAAGGCTGAAAGCCCGGCCACCGATGGTAGGGCGGGTCAGGCGGGAGACATGGAGCAGTTCGGAGCCCGATGAACGGAGGGAGTGGGCAGGTTGGTAGGGAGTCAGCAGGACAGAGAGGTAGGAGGGGGCAAGGCTATGGATGGCCTTAATGGTGAGGACAAGGATCTTGAACTCGATCCTCTGGGGGATGGGGAGCCAGTGGAGTCAGGCGAGGGTGGGAGTGATGGGGTCGTGGAGCCTGGTGCGTGAGAGTACAGGAACTGCAGAGTTTTGGATGATGATCTGCAGCTTGTGAAGGGAAGCGTTCAGAAGAGCCAATTAGGAAGGCGTTTCCGTAATCAATAATAATAATCCTTGCATTTTTATATAGCGCTTTTTACGTCGAGAGGACGTCCCAAAGCGCTTCACAGAACACACTGTAAAGTGAATTGACTGTATATTTGTGGACGAACGCGGCAGCCAATTGCACACAGCAATGTCCCACAAACAGTCGTAGATTGAAAATGACCAATTTATTATTGTTTTTGGTTTTGGAGGGATTATTATTAGGCTCTGTGTGGAGTAAGGAAACTTGCCCAAGGTTTCGCCCTCTGCCTGGAATTGAACTCAGGTCTCTCGCTTGCAAAGCGAGTGCTCTAACCACTGAGCTACAGGACTCCACTTCAAGCCTTGAATTGACAATTTATTTTGTTACTTTTACTACCATCTTCTCCTTAACTGTAGTGTTAGATATGGAGGATTGTGAAGTACATTTCACTGAATCAACATAAAAGGAGCTGAGGATTAGATGCTAACATTGGACCCTTTTAGTTACTCTTGGGTTCTTTAGCTATTATTTTTAATCTAATGTATATGATTTGTGATTTCTTGTTGAAAAAATACAAGAGTCTGATTGAACTTCACTTACTTTTTAAATATAAAAAAGTAAAAATAACCAGAGATTCTGCACAAAATAGTGTAGAATAGTAGTTATTGAGTCGGGTGTTCTTACCATTTTTTTTCTCTCCACTCCCTTCCCACCGTTCTGCAAATCAGAGTGATATAGCATCTGAAACCAGGTGTTCAATCAGTCTTATGTCAATAGCCTGTCAAACACAGTGACGTCATTACAGGCTACTCAGCCCAAGGCCTTTGGGCTCAAGAAGGCAGATGTGCTGATGTAATTGACATTAGCGGTAGTAGGTAGGGGAAGGTTGTGGTCTCTTTGATTCCGAATGCGATACCATTTATGTCAAACAAGTTGGGTAAAAATATTTGGAAACTAATTCATAGCAAATCAAACTGGTCCAAAAGCCAAACAAGGTATTGTTATATAGCGCCTCATTATAAACTCCAAATATTTAATAGGATACAACTTGGAAACGTATGGGTGAGGACCAACAGCCTGTGTCGTAGCATTTAATAACGGAGAAACAGGGATGGAATGCACAAAAACCCTGAAGCTATTGCTTGTTGAGTTTAATCTCTTGGTCCATTACAGATGTTAAGAAGAGTGTATTTCATTTTAAATAGATGACACTATAAATCGGGAATACTTCAGGTAGATCTCAGTGTGATGCTGTTGATGGCTGCTGTAGAGCCGTAAAGGTAACTGATGAACAGAAGGAGTAAATTGATATGATTTATATTGTGGCTTTGAAATGCAGCCTTTTTGGGTTAATTGTAACTTTTAATTTTCACATTTGGTCACATAGCAAGCAGCATGATGGATGTATTGCCCAGTATTGGGCAGCTTGCAATATTTTATCTTGTTTAGTTTAATGAAGATGGTTTGTTTTGAGACACAATGATCAGTTGATTTAGTTCGAGTCCACAGGAAAATTGGAGAACTTTTTTTCTTTGTCCTTTGCTCACCTTTGGAAATTTAATATCTGAATACTGTGCTTTGGCTATTATTTCAGTACGTGTTTTAGGCTTCCATGTACTTAGTGTTAATTCAATGTATTGCAAATTTGGACCAAAGTGTTAAACTTTATTGGTTGAAAAGCCATTTCTGGGTGACAATTAATCTTGGTTCTGACTCAGAAAAAACACAATTGCAGACAATAGAAAGGAGGACACCAATATTGCTCATAAATGGCAAAAGCTTAAAACTACTGCCATTTTTTCCCTTTATTTATTTTCTTTTTCTCCCAGTTTTGTTTCTTGTGGTCTTTGTACTTAGGTAAAGGAGACATGTTAGTGTTGGAAAATGGAGCACATTCCCACTTTGCAAGGGCTGCTGTCAGTCAAAACCTTTACTTGCTCAAACTAAGTGACATTGATTTCCTTTGGTAAATTATTTTCCCCCTTCCCTTTTAGGTTGGTGAATTATTAGTTACTCATTAAGTTTAGAGATTTTAATCCTGGAAATGAAACACATTTCCATTTTGATTACTGGTGTGTGTATCCAGCAGAACTATTGTGGGTCTAACTCTGTTAGTGATAGAATAAAGCTCTCTTTGCTCCAGCACCAACATAGACGTTTACAGCAAAGCAGCTAATTTAGCCAATTGTGTCTGTCTGGCTCTGAACAAGCAATCCATTCAATCCCATTTACCTGCCTTTTACCATACCCCACAAATTATTCCCTTTTAGATATGTATCTAGTTTTCTCTTGAAAGCTTTTATGGATTCTGTCTTGACCAACACATCTGGCAGGGCGTGCCACATCCTAATAACCCAATTTTTAAACAAATTCCAAATAATTCCGCCTTTTGCTTGTTTGGTAATTACCTTCAATTGATGCCCTCTGGTCACTGACTCACCGACCAGTGGAAATGATTTCTCCCTCTCGACTCTTAATTTTAAATCATTTATCCTCTAACCTTCTCTACTCCACTGAAAATGGGCCTATTGCACCTAGGTCAAACAACTCACATCCCTGGTGTCATCCTAGAAAATCTCTTCTGCATCCTCTCTCACCCTGATATCCTTCTTGAAGTGGGGTGACTAAAGCTGGACACAGTATTCTTAGCTGTGATCTAACGAACCCGTTCTACAACATTTCCTGGACTCATCTGTCTCTCCAGTGTTTTCCCTGAGTGAGTTCATCGATTTAGCCCCAAAATTGCAGAAGACCTCTCTATTTTTAAAACAGTTTGCGATCAAGAATGTAGTGTAACGCTTAATGATGCGTATTAAGTGGTCAGTTTCCAAACTGCATTTTGGAGGAGAACACTAAATGGTGCTAAGCTTTTGAACGATATTAAGGGTTATGGCACTGTTGGTATATTTCCCCTCAAATCACTTTTTTTCTTAATCAGCCATGCCTTTCTACGCTCCCAACATGTCATCATTCCACTAATGAGAACACAGAACAAATGTCAGTGCCTCAACTGGCCATTGGAAATGCAAAAAGAGCATCAGGGCTTGAACTGTTTCAAACCAGCTTGTTTTTGTTTTCTGTGGTGAAGAACATTATCTTCATTCACTGCCATAGTGTTTTATGGTGACTGGACCAAATATTAGGATTCTGTTTCAAAGAGAGTTTAACTTAGCAAAAGTATGATGTTTTAGTGATTTTTTATTTTTTGAATTGCTTCAGAAAATGAAGGGCTTCTGTGCTGACCATGTAAAGTGAACTTCTATTCAGATGAGAGAAACAAACTGAAGTGTGTAACAGCTGTGGATTTTCGTGTCACTCATTTCTGTAACCTTTGCTGATGTGTGCAGGTTGTTGGTTAATAGCCCTGAATCATAGTCCATATTTGTATGAGTGTGCTTTGTGTGTGTATCTCTTCCTCTGCCTCTCTCTAGGAGAGTATATGGGTGGTCTATACCTCCAAAGGATGATTGGCTGTGGAGTGTACAGATTTTCAACATAGCTGTATGCTTACAAGGACTTCCTTTCCATTTGGCAGTGAGTTTTGAGATTTTCTACAGCCAATTTTCCTTCTGGTCCCTTGCTTTGTATGTGCACCAGATTCCAGCAAATTTATGTACAACTGCGTTTATTGGTTAATATTTCTGCAAATGTTTTCAGACTCTGCGGATACTCAGCTTCTCACTAGATAGGGGACTTCCTCATAATAATTGGGAGGTTCAATTTCTGGAATAGATTGTCTGCATTTGTGAAAGAAAGAGTGTGTGATTATTCCACGCATATTTCTTTTGTGCGGAAACTTGGGGGATCCCCTTTGACTTGCAACACAGACAAATGATTGAAAACGTAGGGTCGATTGTTCAATTGATCATCATTGTTGTATATTTCACAGAGCGGCTTTTCAATTTAACCTTGATCCAAAACTGAGTGAGATGGGAGTGCTGTTAATATTCTCCTCGCTTCTCTTTGATGATCGAGTCTTCTCTGTTTTTCTCTTCCAGTTTTAAACGAGCAATCAAGGTGACTGAAGGAATGTGGCGTAGAAGCCGTGCCTGGAGCTCACCTGGCAACGCTTGCCAAGCATTTGGACCTTTCTGTACGGTCATGTGGACCCCACAGCTGTTCCTGACACTGCTTGTGGGAGCAGCAGCAGTGACTGGTAAGTTCCAAGATATTTTTACACATAGGGAAATGAAAGCCTCTGAGCCATTTCATTGAAGGTCAAGGAGATACTCAAGTTGAATTGTATCGCCCGATGTACAGTAAATAAGATCCCAACGTGCAGTCAAAATATCCAAAGCTTTCTTCAATACCTTTGAGGTCCAAACGTTCACTCAGACTTAGTCTGCAGTACTTTTTTAAAAAAAATTAAAATGCAGATATGTGGAAAGTTCTTATCTTCAGGCTTGATTTGGAAGCAACAGCAGACCAGATCTGTGCATCGAATCTTTTCCGAAGTGTTGAAGAATTGTAACAGCTCACCATGAGAGTGATTTGGTTGACAACAGAACTTGGAGCTCTGGTAATGGGGAAAGATTGGAGGAGCTGATCTTCTTCTCAATGGTGAAATGATTGAGGGGGATAGGATCCAGGATTCTGTAATGCTGAGATGCAGAGAAAATGCAAATTTAAGAGGGTAACTTGAGTTGGACAATGAGAGAAGAACCTGAAAGATTAAAAAGAAGCAACCAGTTGAACACCTCCCTCACCCCCTAAGTAGCCTTGATGGGCCAAATGCATGTTCCTTTTTCTTTATTTATACTCTTTGCTTTTTTTGGTTGATTTTGACATTCAGTTCTCTCACATGTGAACATGCTTTTTCCTGCTATGTTGGGCAAGCAGTAAACCTGTGGAACAGGCTCCCTAGGGAGACGGTTGAACCAGGAAATGTTGATTTCTTCATCACAGATTAGATAGTTTTCTTTTAGGAAATAACATGTTGGGATATAGTACATAGGTAGTTAGGGACATATGTGCATGCGACCGCCAGGAAAGTGGAAGGCGAACAAGATGGACCTTGGTCATTTTTTCATCTAGCATTTCTTATGTTCTTACGTTCGTATGTATAAATGAATCTTTTGCTTTCCCACCTACCCCATGGACCAATGGTAAGTAGAAGCACAGGTACCAGTCTTCCCAGATATCTGTGAGCGCTGATGTGAGGAGGTCTAACAGAGGTGTCAGTTAAGATCTTGGGATTGGTGACACATTCTATGTTTTCCTTACTCACAAACAGCATTGCTGAGATAAACAACTTTAAATTACTGAAGGAGTGCCCTCCATATGTCCTCTGCAGTGAATTGGTGCTATGCTAAGGGTCGCTTGGTCAAAAACCAATTGTTTGTTTAAAGTACAACAATAGCAAAGGTCTGCTGGCATTAGCGAGCTGCACATTGGAGCATATCAGGGTTTTTAATAATTTCCATATGTGATAGTCTTTGCATCCTGTGTTGGAATGAGACCACGCATCTCTGGTGTGGAAAAACCTCTTTCTCCCCACCCGCTCCACCCCCCACCCATTTCTGGCTATTCTTTATAGTCTGTTGCTCCAGCTTGCATGACAGTTATGAACTGCTTGAGCTCTGTTGTTGTGGTTTGATGTTGTCACCTGAATCCCTTGATCTCAGATTAATTCACTGTAATCAGTCTGTCAAGCAGCCATTATTTTCCAAGCAACGTGCCCTGATTCAGTCTCTTGTCTGCCAGCAATGACAGCTGATACTAAGGGTATGATTCATGCTCAGATGAAAGCTCAGAAAAACGACATCAAATGTGCATTAAGGCTTAGTTTCAGTCCTCAGGCATCTTGGATGTAAAGTGAAAGTCCACTGATCTATTAACATACAAATTCAATTTTTTTTACATACTCCCCACAAGCAATCAGATGCTGGGAGAAGCTGTGTAAAGGAGTGATGTCAGCGCTGATGAAAATTGAGCAATTCTTGCTGGCTTCCTTTTATTCCTGTAAACTTACACTTGCCCAATTAAGTAAGCCACAACATTAATTTAAATGCCGAGATACCCTGAAAAATTAAAGGAAGTGGCCCGCCCCTGTAGTTTCTGCAGTTAGATTTTTATTTCAGGGCTATTAATGTGTTGATTTGTGATGTTTAGTAAAGTCTCATGATGCTCACATAAGAGATTTAGAGAAGGCATTCACAACCCAGATTGCTACATCAAGAATAGCCACTTGGTTGGGATAACAGTCTTCTTCTGCCTTGTCTCACTGCCCTTTCTGAAAGATTGGGGAGAAATTCAGGGGGGAGCAGGAACAAGTAATCAAGCATTGCTTCCCACTCGCAAACCTTGTGGACTCCTGTAGCTTAGTGGTTAGAGCACTCGCCTCGCAACCAAGAGACCTGTGTTCGATTCCCAGCAGGGCGAAACATTGGACAAGTTTCCTTACTCCACACACTTCTGTTTACCTAGCAGTAAGTAGGAACCCCAGTTTTTAGTTGATTGGCGGATCGTTTTTCCGGCCATAATAATTCCTTCAAAATAAAATTTTGCCCACAAACATACAGTCAATTCACTTTACAGTATATTCTGTGAAGTGCTTAGAGACGTCGCAACGACATGATAAGGCACTATATCAAATGCAAGGATTATTATTATAAGCTATCATCAATGTGTGAAAGCCCTTCAACATTGTCACATTGGTAGATCAAAAATGATTGGATTTTTGTCATTGTCAAAACATTGAAAAATGATCCTGTCTTTAGATTGTCTGACGATCGAATTCAGATTTTCCTCAGTAAACTTGCAGTAATGATGGCAGAATTCAGTGTGAATTTAATCACACATCAATAACACACTCTTAGCACTCAGAGCGAATGTGTTGGCAGTGGGTGTCAGCACTTTCACTCGCTAAATGGAATAAATCTATTGAATGGAAGGAATGTAGAGTAAAGCTGAGTGGAATAAGTTGAGAGTAGTAATAATAATAATCCTTGCATTTGATATAGTCTTATCAAGTCTTCGAGAAATCTCAAAGTACTCCACAGAATATACTGTAAAGTGAGTTGACTGCATATTTTGTAGGGCAGCCAATTGCACACAGCAGTGTCCCACAAACAGTTGTGGTTTTAAGTGACCAATTTAATGTAGTCAAGCGGTTCAAATGATTGAATGAATCACTTGAGCTGCAATCGTTCGGTTGTCAGTGATTCCGTGATTGGATCACTCTTTGGAATAGCTCCATTATATACGTTATTCATTTCCTGAAATTTAATTTTCTAAGTGTTGAAATACTTTAAAATCTTTTCAGTGGTTACATTTTAAAACCCCACAGAACTGATCTGATTCATAGTATTTTAACTGCAGTTCCTATTTTACTAAAGAGGACAATGCTTGTTTTGCCGATCAAGAGGAGATGATTTTAGTTCTTTAACTGCTTCACCTTTTTGTTCCAGCCCTTTTGCTAATCCCACCCCTTTCCTGTCACTTTGTTAATCTCCTCCGAAGCTCTGAAATAATCATTTTTGATACAAAGAGAATCTTATAAAATAGTTGCTTTAGTCAATAAACAATAACTGCTTATTTTCCTTATTTTTTCTCTCAGCCCCCTCTACCCCTCCAAAACAGGTGTTCTGTATGTCCTGTCCTATCATGTCTGTCTGTCTGTCTGTCTGTGTGTCTGTGTGTGTGTCCATCTTAGTTAACTTTAATAATAATCCTTGTATTTTATATAGTGTTTTTGATTTTGGGAGAACATCCCAAAGCACTTCACAGGATACAGTGTGAAGTGGAGTCACTGTGTATTCGTGGGGAAACCTGGCAGCCAATTTCGCACGTAACAATATCTCACTAACAGTCATAAAATTAATGATCACTTTTATTTTGTTGGCCTGGACACCAGGAGAAACTCCCTTCCCTTTTCGAATTGTGCCATGAGATCTTTAGCATCCACAACAACAACAAAATGACATTTATAGAGCGCCTTTCACGTCAGGAGGATGTCCCAAAGCGCTTAACAGTCAGGGATCGGGACCCGAGCATGGGGGTGTAGGAGTGAGGGAAGGCAGAGAGGTGGGAGGGAGACCAAAAGCATGATCGAAGAGAAGGGTCTTGAAGCCAGCCTTGAAGGAGGCAAGGGAGGAATCGAGGTGAAGGGACCGTGGGATGGAGTTCCAGAGTGAGGGGGCAGAGAGGCTGAAACCCCGGCCACCGATGGTAGGGCAGGTTGGGTGGGAGACATGGAGCAGGCCGGAGCCTGCTGAACTGAGGGAGCGGGCAGGTTGGTAGGGAGTCAGCATCCACATGAACAGTCAAACAGGATCTCGTTTTAACTTATGATCCGAAGGATGGCACCTCCAGCACTGCTTTAGACTATGTGAGTTCAACTCCCTGACATGGGACTCAAACCTGCAACCTTCTGACTCAGAGGCAAGCATGCTCCCACTGAGCCGAGCTTGGCTTCTCTTTAGAAGTTTTTTTAAAAAAGCATTGCAATAATAATGATCCTTGCATTTGATTTTGTGCCTTTCATGTCAGGAAGATGACTGGAAGTACTTCACAGGGTATACTGTAAAGTGTAGTGACTGTGTTATTGTTTAAGGCAAACACAGTTTAAGTGTGTTGGAGGGGGATGAATTCACCCGTGTGTTGAATGCTGATTATTGTAGACTATTGACTATGATAATTATCACATTCCATATTAGAATTTTTAAGAATATTTGAAATTACAGTGCACTGCAGAGGAAGTTTACCTTAAATATTGCTAATAATAATCCTTGGATTTGATATAGCGCCTCATCACGTCTTCTAGATATCTCAAAGCGCTTCACAGGATATACTGTAAAGTGAATTGACTATGTCTTTTTTGCGGGCGAAACTCGGCAGCTAATTGCGCACAGCAGTGTCCCGCAAACAGTCATGGATAATCTAATAGTATTTGAATAATATAATTTCAGCTCGGCGAGGATTTGTTTATTTTGCAATGGAAAATGGATGTCATCTGTCTGAAGAACTCAGCCTACTTTATTGTTCTTCTGGTCAACCTGCCTATCTTAGTGTTTTAGTGAGGGTGAATTAAGATTTAGCAGCAGAAACATTTCAAGGCTGAATGACTAGAAGGGAGATTTCAATCTTATTTCTAATGCTGCTTGATGACAACAATATAAAGAGTAGTGGTCCAAAAGTGGATTGAATGGAGGGTTA